TGTAGCACTTGTGGTCGGATAAAGAGGCTTCAGAGAGTGTGTATTTACTTCCATTTAATGCCGTATGCACTGAAACACAAGAGACACATTTATGATCACGCTATTCATGTCAAGGCACACTTTACAATTAGGTCACACCTTACAGGACGCATCTAACTTAAAAACGTTTTGTTTATCAAAAGAAATATTCACTTAAAGTGACGTTTCTCACCTGAAACACAAGAGACACATTTATGATCACGCTATTCATGTCAAGGCACACTTTACAATTAGGACCCGCGAGGCCCCCCCCCCGAGTTGCCTTCCCCTGCCTGCGTGTATCCCCAGCATATCTCCTGTCTACAATCGTATCCATTTCTTGTGTCCATGAAATATAAAAAAATACAATTTCCTTTGTACAAATTTGGTATAAAATAATTTAAAAAATAAAATGAGGTGGGTGGTGCTTTCTACTTCATTACCATTACAGTGCCTGCTTAATACTATTGGTCCCACACTCTCCCCTGCAAAATTAATGGCGTCCCGACATTACACAGTCCATAAATACAGGTCTTCAACTCCAGAGCCAGATCACAAGAATGGGAGTCAGTTGGGAAGGTATCACACGTCCATCAACAGTTCATCACATGGCATATCTCCCTCTTTCACCATGTCTGCGGGCAGACACCACTGGCCAGGTGATGTCTACATATATGCTCTGTTTTACAGGCAAAATACCTTCACTGAAAGATGACACATCTTAAGACTCTTGCCTATGACTCTTGTACAAGCTTTTAATAGGCTGTTACCCAAATATATGTTATCTGCTTGTATGTGTATACTCAAACTGTGCTTTGTCTCAAATTATAAAAGCTGCCAATTTATGGTCAAAGTGCATACGGTGAAACATTTTACTGAACCCAGTGTAGAACAAGTTAACCAATAAACTGATTAAATACTATTCCTAAGTTCTTCTATGTGTGAGAGAAGGCTGACCTAGTGTGTTATAAGTAAGTGTCTGAGGTGGCTTTCTGTGTCTGAAAGGATACTGTCTCAGAGTGGCTGGTTCATCTGCTTCATCAGATGATGCTGCTGAACTCTTGTCTGCTGTGGGACCATCATCAGCCTCTTCATTCACCAACTCCTCCAGCTCGACTTGTGTGTTTTCATCCCCGCTCAGCTGATGGTCTGGTGCACCCCCAGTGTTCTGTCTGGGAAGTTCCTCTCTGATGCTCGTGTCTCGGTGTCTAGGGGTTGGTTGTGGATGGAACTCCTCTGCGCTCACTCTCAATTGACTTCTGATTTGGGTGGGATGCTCTAATGGCTTTGAGATGGTGACTTGCCACTCAGCGTCACTGTCAGAATCTTC